CACTGTGATGTCGGTTGCACTCCATGAGGGAAGTGAATGGAGAAGGCACTGTTTATTCCACCAGATTGAGGTAGTGGTCTGTTTATTTGGGGCAGAAGAGAGGGTGTTGGGGGTGGGAGTGGGGGTGGGGGAGGCAGAGGGGGGAGGGAGTGAGGAAGGGATGGATGGAGGGAGAGAGTAGTCGAGGAACTGAGAGAGGAGGCCGTTGCGTGGAGAATGGAGGTGAATAGAATGCAGGAATGAGTGAATGGAAGGGAGGTGTGAGTAGCTGAGCGTGAGTTGTCGTCGGAAGCAGACGTCACATCTGTTCCACATGACAAGTGACTTGTGGTGATTTGAATGACCTAATTAGTTGTGACTGAGATTAATGGGGAGGTGGTAGCACCTACCACCCACCACAGTTTGGCACGTCGAGATGAAGCAAAGCATTCTCTATGAATGAGTGGAGGCGAATGTAGCATTCCATGTGCGAATGAGGAAAGTGTGGCCTCTTGAGGTGGATGGAATGGGAGAGAGCGCAGTGCTGATTGTTGTTGGCCTCGGAGGTGTTGTTGTGCAAATGTGCCACAATTCCATCATCTCTGCAGTGTGTTCTGGTGGTTCGCAATGTGTGGTGTGGAAGTGGTTGAAGTGGTGGGAAACCGGTAATGAGTGGTATTAAATACCTGAAGTGGTGGTGGTGGTGAAGTGCTGTGGTGGAGGTGGTGTTGGTGTTGGTGGTGGTTGTTGCTGTTGCGTGTTGGGTACAGAATGGAAGTGAGCAGACCAGATGGTAGTGCAGCATGTCAAGACGACTTGTCACTGGAAGTGAAATAGATGCACCTGTGGATGGGGAAGACGGTGTTACACCAGTGGAAGCAGATTCTTCATTGCATTCTTCTCTCCGTCCACCAAGAACCCGCACTGTGCTTTCCCATTTGGTGATGCATCCCAGATGACTGCAAATTCTCACAATTGACGTGACCATTAGTGGATGGCATGGCAGTCACGCACACAGAGTTGTGACAACTGAAGCATGATGTGAGATGTGTTTGCGATGTCGTGGTTGCCTCCACCTTGCACTTCCACAAATGATGGCATGTCATTTAGTTGCCATGCTTTTCCCACACTGATTGACAACCAATGTGTAAACAGTGACTGTTGGAGTGGGTGACGCCACTCACCGGTGGGAGGATTTCCACGTCAAAATGTGAGCCTGTCAATGGTGCATGATGTGGAATTGGGAAGAGGGGAGGCGAATGGTTCATTTAATGGCCGTACGACCAGTGTGAAGTGAACCACAGAAGATTGAGGAAGTGAGTGTAGTGTGAGGAGGAAAGTGTGAGTGTACAACCGACTTCGTGACTACGAGAGCGTTCTTGAATTGACCTGATGGTATCCAGAAGAGATGTGTGATTGCATGAGACGAGTTGGTCAGTTGGTGAGAGGGGAGACCTGTGCCTCGTGCGTCGATTGGAGAATGAGGTGGTGAGGTGAGACACATCCACCTTCAATTCATTGTGCTGCGAGTCGTGACTGCATCGAATGAGCAGTTTCTAGATGGTGTAGTGGAAGTGGCAGACAGTCCTTCCATCTTGCACAGCATTCATGGTGTGGCATGGTGTGGTTATACCAAATGTGCCAAGTGTCTGCGAGCACATCCTTTTGTGCGTTTGACATGCAGAGCAGTTGAATTGCTCTGTTTGATGCAAAATAATCATTTCTGTTCTAGGTTGTTGGCACACCTACGGACTTCGTAGCAGTGTTGAGTACTGGATGGTGGGTTGTTGGAAGTGGGTGATGGATAAGATGGCAGAAACTCGTATTTGATAGGAATGTGTGTGCTTGAAGCTAGTGCTTATTCGATTGTTGAGTAGGAGAGTCTCCTCCTCACTCTGTCTGCTGCGACTTCCCCTCTCGGTGGTTTGACTGAAGTGACTGGTGTTTGAATGGATTGGTGGCCTCCAAGGGAAGGTTTGTTGTGAATGTTGGGAGATGCGTAAAAGGGAAGGAGAGAAGGAAGTGGAAAAAGCACGCCTGACAATGCGACACGACGAGCAGCTGCTTTGGAAGACGGGATGCGGTGAGACAAAGGGAGTCGGACCCCTTGTATGCTGCCTGGATTGTGATTGAGATACCGCAACTTTGTCATCAGAGGAGGAGGGTGGAGAAGGAAGATGAGCGGAGAGAGGAGGAAGCTGAGGGGGAAGGGGAAGAGAAGGAAGGAGGGGAAAGAGGAAGAGGCAGAAAGAATCGACTTCCCACATCCTCCTCTTCCTGTTGTTGATGCCGTGGATGACTCTAGTGTTGAAGTAGGTAAGAAAGTGGTTTGCTCGTGAAGAGGGCTCAAACGGGAGGGAGAATACAGAAAGATGTACTTTGGGAGAGTCATGTGTCCTCGGAAGAGTAGAGGATTAATTCAGTCACAATGGACGCTAATAATGCTGCACTTACCTCATTGTTTTGCCTACCTTTCTAATCTAAACTTCTAACCGAAGCCACTGAGGTACTTTACACGAAAGTATGCAAAGTGCTTCACTGCAAGAAACGCGCCTTTCATGCAGAGATTGGCAAAACCCAGCACTTACAATGCAAACCCACTGCTTCAATACAGCCTCCGACATCGTGGCATCTGATCAGGAGCAGGTGAAAATGCGGGAAAATTAAGCCCTCCCTTTTTTAAGAACTCGCAATTTCCAAGGCAAACAATGTTTGCAGATGCAAGAAGGCGATTTTTCTCCCACTAGTGATGCAAAGGTGGTTCATTACCTCGACTACCTCTACCTCTCGCCTCTTGCTTCTTGACTGACTGTGTGGATGGGATTGGTTAAAGGCGAATCGCGAGATGAAGCCTACCACTTTGGCCACCGTCACCACACAGGTATGAGAGTCTGGTGTTCCCCTCTTACCAAGACGCCTAATGCAGCCCGTGACGTGTGTTCTTTCCTCACGTGGTGGTGGCTTACTCCAGTCACTCGTGTATTGCACATGGTGTTGCGTGGAGTGGTTGGACTGGCGTGTCGGTGTTGGTGTTGTTTGTCGATGTAGTGAGCTGGAAGTAGTCAGCGCTTGTGTACGTGTAAGGGATGAGATGTGGGCAAATGGTGGCCACACACGTGACCTCATCTCTGTGGCGCTGCAGTGATTAGCATAATCCTTGCATAAATGAGATTATCGCGGTGGAGGAGGTCATCAAATTGCCAGCATAATTGAATAACATGACTCATCGTCCTATCCGTTTTTC